TGCACTCAGGACACGGGCTGGCCCCAGGGGGTGCTGGAGCTCCGGTCCAAGGGTCACCCTTTGAGGACCACCGAGCTCCTGAAGGCTCAGACCCTCCGCCCCGCTCACCGCATTATGAACTCCTTAAAGCACAGCCGCAGCTTGTTGTGATGCCGGTACAGTTTTGGGTCGGCTGGAATTTCGGCCAGGAACACCTGGGCCACTTCCAGGGGTCCCTGGTGGGAAAAGTGAGAAAGGATGCTGACATGGGGAGGGATATTGGATCCCGGGGGGAGGACACGGTGCCACAACTTCTGTGTCTGAACACTGGATCCCGCCGTAGGACGGAGCAAAACGAAATAAGTGGGGAAGGCCTTGGATTTCTGGAGGCCCTTGGACGTCCATCGGAAGAGTCTGAGGTTCTAGGACAACACTCAGAAGAGAAAGGGTCTCTTCAGAAGCGAGCAGCACTGGCCACGGGCCGTCCGTCCTGTGGGAAAGCCGTCAATCACGGCCACGCACGCGCAACCACCTCCAGGAAACAAAGAGGGTCAGACTGGACGCTGCCGATTCTCGCAGATCCCCACTGAGACCTGCTCGCCTGAGGGCCATGTTCCCTTCGCTGCCGCCTCCCCGGGGATTCTGGGCTTTTCCTTTGCACCAGGGCAGAATGCTCCCCTCCGGGAGCTCAGTGTTCCTCTTGGGGATCAGAGAGATGTCCCAAGGGGCCAGATCTAGGCCAGGTTCCCACAAAAATTCTTGTTGGGCAGCCCTTACTGCCCCCCACGAATAAGCAGGCACGTTTTCATGACAGGGGTGGTGGAGGGGGCGGCAAACCAACCTTGGGGTATCTTTCCTGGCCTTCTTGGCGATGCACAGGCCAACCTTCTTAAAGACACTTCAGAATCTGCCCTGCGGTCACTGTGTGTCCTTCAGGAAACTCTAGCCCCCAAAGCAGTCACTGTCCCCTCCTGAGCTGGCCTCTCTGCCTTGCATTGAACTGGCCCAGCGGATTCCCCTCGGAAGCCTTCATTCGGATCGGATCTTCATGAGACCAGGGCCGGTGTTGGCTGAGAGGCTGTCTGCAGCCGCCCAGTGCCGGCAGAGACGCGTCCAAACGGGTTTTGTTAGAAACAAACCCTTGTGTGTGCGACCTGGCACCCCGGTAGGAAAGATTTTGGACTTGGCCTTGCGGAAAGGCAGTAACACAACAACAGCAATAGACACGGCTCGGAGCTGCTGCTCTGAAAGCGGAGATGGCCTGCACC